CCAATAGGAACACGCAAACCAGACGAAGGCTGAAACCTTAAATACGAAGCCACGGACGGAAGGATTAAGAGTTGATGTACACAGGGTGACTGACGCAGTAAATCTGTTCTATCCTATCCTGTCCGTCTTCTATTCCGCACAGAACTGGCGTCCTACTAATTGGGGTATAACAATATACTCAAGACTCCGTTAACGGCGGACAAATTTTACAATAAGCACGAATACCTACCTCAACCGGGCGAGTTGACCGTGTTGACTGCATTAAAAGAGATTTGCGAGTGTAAGGCTGGATAGACAAACGCCAACTTTAACAGAAACGACGCCTACCCAACCGAAAACGGGATGCTGAGATTAAGTTTAACAGGGATTTTGGATACCCCAATTTTTGTACACAACACAATTGGAAATAACCGTATTATATTTGAAATAGTATATGTACAGTAAATGACATCCGAACCTAATAACAGCCCGACGGATTAAGTAACAGTATTTTCAAAAAAGTTTTGGGCGTAGTTAATATTTTACTAACATAAACAGTTAAAATGTGAAGAAAAACGCAGTGGCACCAACCCTAATGCTGAAAGATAACTTCCCACAAACAGGCACATCTTCGTACTCAAGCGGATATTAAGTTAACGCTAAATCTCTATTTTGCCAGTTTTTTTAAAGACCGAATATTTAGAACTTTTATTTTTGATCTTAAGTAGTTGACGTCGTGCACGGTAACGTAAAAACGATTATTGAGACAACACAGCTTTTAGTGGAGTGCACGGCTATAAAAGGCGAAATTAAATGACAAGGGAAATTAATGCCTTTGCGGCTACATACTTTTTTATACGTCTACGAATCTACCAAATACGGTGTGATACAAGACGTTCTTACGGGACAAATATTTTCTTCTACGTAACTTATTAGCCTCATTAACAGCCGGTATTTGTAAACAACTTAAGTCGATTTGTAAAAAGTCATGTTCAATTGAGTGAATGCCTCCACAACAGGAAGTAGACAAAGAGAAGTAATCTTTTAGGGTCAACGTAGATGTCTTGGAGATACTCATTTGCCTTTATTCGATGACCTTTTATCCACGAAGGCTGAGACGCTCAGCAAAAGAGCGGAATATTTAAGGAAGAACTGGTAGACGAGAAGATACTGGCCCCCAGTACTTCCCGTAACTTGACCAGAGTCAACTCTGACACGGGAGGTGCACATCACTTTTACTAGCGGAGAATTTTAAATGTTGAGTAAATTCTTACCCATGGCCACCTACTACACTCTAGACTACCTGCATGCTTTGAATGTCATTAAATGAAGTGCCCTAAATATTTGTAAGTAAGGTCAGTATTGCAAACCGCCGCAACTGACAGGTGCTTAAATGGTTGACTATAGGCAACGTATTGTTTGCTGTGGCAGTTTAAGGTTAGACGATTAAATATAAGGGAGAGTAATAAATAACTTGTGTCTTTTATTCTCAAATGTGCGCTAGAGAAGCCTTTGTTGTTTTGTGTTTTGAAAGAAAAGTTGGGATATGTAGATTTGGGGAAGTTGTAGCGCCAAAGAGATTAAACGTTCTCATTTAGGCGAAACACATAGGCACAGTAGAAACTGAAATTAACGACCAAATTAATTTCTGAATGTTCTGGTGCGTAGGTCTGCAATTGGGCGGCCTAAAATATCGTTTGTAAGAAAGTTGTTTGTTTAAAAAACCGGTCGACTTTTTGTCAAAGCGCCTTGGTAGTGAAGAGCCGGCATAGGCCTGCGAAACACCAAACACTCAATCCCTTTATACCGGCAAGCCCGTCTATCTTTCTCAGTAAATTATAAGAAAAGGAGATATGTAGCCGAGGCATGAATGTACACGGAATCATCAAACGAGCTTTTGTGATCCACAATACTTTACAATCACCATGAATATGATTGCAATTATATTTAAGGCATACGTGAGCAAATTTTGTCAGTCAAATCGAATTCGGCCTAATTTTACTTTTCGAGTGGAACAACCAACAGATTCCTGCGAGCTGACACCAAGAATTAAACACATACAGCTAATGAGACTGGTGAACTGCAGAGTCTCTTAATAACTCGGTTTTAGCGGAAAACGTAAAGACAGAATAGGAAACAATAGAAAAGTGGGCAAAATTAAAACCGTAGTTACGTGACCGGAGAAGACGGTAAATGAATATTTGTATGCGGTTTTATAACAAATACATGGACAGTAAACAACTAAATAAAACCAAAATGATCAAGAACTGTCATTATGAAAAAAACGCAGCTTTACGAGTACTAACACTTTTGACTAAAAATTATTATTTTTTGCAGCACACGTGGCATTGTGATGGAGAGACTTACAAAAAATTTGCATGCTTGGCTATTCGTTGTTTGCTGGTTACTTGGCCTCATGGAAAACACTATATTTCTCCTTAACAGTCTCGAATTGTAATTGACTGTACTTTTCATCAGATAAGTCTGCGGTTTTTATATTTGGTTGGTAAAAAACGCGTCTTCTGAATATTTACTGTCCTTTTGGAGGATTTTTGCGAAAGGCATATGGATTATTCTATTGTAATGTCGTCAAGAGTTCACTTTGTGCAGGCATTAGGAAATTAAAAAACAGATTTGATGGAAACGAAGCGGCGTCTTTTTTACACGTTGTAAGAAGAAAATAGTTAATCCTCGCAGTGTTGCGGTGTTCACCAACTTTTTATAAACGAGGAAATCAATTTTTCCAGGTGAAAATGAGCCAGAAAGACATAAATATGTGTGCGGAATAAAGTACGCAGATGTTGTTTTTGGGACTGTAAAGAACTGCGGTTAAGATTGCGGAACCAGAATAGTGAAGCAGATGGATTTCCATCCAGAAAGAGCTATGTGTTTAAGTGCGAATTACGTAGACATATAGGGAGATGTCGAAGTATAAACGTTTCGAACGCACTGTATAAATGATTTGGGGATTCCTTTTCTAGTCATTGCACATTTAGAATTAAGAAATAAAATTAAAATCTCTTTTGACGTGTATTGCGCCTAGTGTATTTATTACAGGAAATCCGAACCCTTAATACAAGTCAGGTGCCTGAGGTTTGCTAAGTCCGTCTATTTACGTTAGTATGTCGACTTTTCTCTGTAGTATGTTGTAGATGTTCTTTGCGTGTTCAGTATCCAATGATACGTATTCCCTCTCCCATTTAAGGAAAACCTATCCTTCAAAAATGTTATTAACCTGCCAAGCAAAACATTTGCATCGTTTTTTAGGTTTTGCTTTTTAAAGCAGCCTTCATTGGCCTTATTCATGATCGCCTTTAAAGTAGATTAAATTTTATTTCCATGCGTTAGACAAGCGCATTCTGTACTTGTTTACAGCAAAGTTAAGAAATAAAAAACAAAATAACGTCTCTATGCTGAGTTCTGTTGTCGCTGATCTTACTCGTTCCAATAAACACTTAGTTGGTTTCGATGGGTACGGGGAAAGCGGACTGTTTCCGGCTAAGTTACGTACCTTTGGGAGAATGAAGTTTAGCTGTAACTAGTTTGGCGCAATTAGACATAGACGCACGTGTTACAGATGCCCATATTTTAGTTATTTGCTGAAAATTAGCAATTCTAACTTGCGGCGCGAATCACAGCGGAAACGATCGGCTGAACTCTGCACATCGCGACTTGTTTATCCCGACAGATTTGAGTTCATGGACGCCGCGGCAAATTAAGCCGATTTTATTTCTTTAACATGGCCAGCTATTGCAAGTTCCGACTTACAGTCTCTTTAGTATACTGGTAAAATGAGGAATGGTACTTAAAAACGGGGTAACCTGAAACGGATATTCATAATTGGAGGTTTTAACTCTGATCATTATAGATGTTCCCAAACCTGGGATTATGAATTTATTAGCAGTCTGCAGCAAGTAGGCGTCCCAAAACTAAAGGAGTTATAATGTCTGCATACTCACACTATTGGCGCGACAACAGGTTGTGTCACTTATGTTTTGAGACACAAATACGTACTTTCATAAAACAATTTAATGGCTAGCAGTGGATGCCCATCGAATAAAAATAGGATGGTCGTTTGCAACTATTTTTTGCCAGTTGACACGTGTGTGTTAGAGATTTAGTCCAGAACGCTGCAATAGAACGTAGAGTTTATAGAACTTACCGGATAAATATTTCTCTGATGCAAATTATTTTATTCCCAACCTCTGTCGGATTTCACAGGTTACTGCATCGTGCCTTTATTTTAAGGTATGTAATGCCCAGACTGCGGACGGTAATACGTCAACACACTGTATTAAAATCTCCCTAGTGTAGGTCAGCATATTCACGAATTCAAAAACACAAATAATCTTCAATAATTACGACGATTCAGCTGGTGTTCCAAGGCGCCACACGCCTCCTTCTCATCAGAGCCTGGTTGGCAAAGCATCGTTAATGCCTTTCAATAGTGACTTACTGGAAGTTATAATGCACACATTCTGTTAGAGCAATCGTTATTTTGACTATTTTCTTACAATTTCAGGAATAAATAGGCATGCTTGGAAGGACTAGGCTGAATGCAATAGAATACAATAGGATAAATTTAGAGCAGTTCTGGAACCATGATGAACTCGGTGAACGAAAGCTTAATAATGACTGTACATTGAATTGTCAGAAACGTCGAAGACAAGCATATTCGGCGAGTGCATGTGTCCTCCAAAAGGGGCGAAAGTGGTGTGTAAACTTAAGGAAACAGTTTGCAAAATAGATATAAGTCGTAGAAGGCAAAAGGTTCAGGGTCGTGTGAAATTACATGCGAAGACAGATAACTCGGCAGAGTACTGCTTTATTGCGAGATTATCTAAATAACCGTGTTTCCAGTTTGTAAAATAGGTCTTGAAGTGCTGACCAATTAAATGCAAACTAGCATATATATATATATAAAGATCTGCAAGCAGCTGTTGTATGTATAAAGGCGTGGCAGATGTCCAGTAGGCAGGCGGCATACGCAAGGGGTTCACGGATTGGTTGCTCCTTTTGGACTATTCCGCAGGCTCATCCGCCAGAAGCATGGATAGGAGATACTGATCGGAAAGACAACCATTCATAAACTCGTCTCTTGTCAAGACGCCATCTTTGTTTTCGTCCATCTTTGCAAATATCTCCTCCGTGCGGGCTTCAGGACTCAGCTCCGCGGAAGACCCATCGGCTCCCAACATAGAGTAGATAGCCTTTAAAGGGAATAATGAAGAGGAGTAGTTTAACACTTCAGAAGGTAGAGAGGCCAGTTGCATTGTCAATGAATATGTTTCGTTAGGATGAGCGTTAATTTTGTTGAAAGTACGGAGTCACGGAATGCACGCGTTACATCAAGTAGATGCGCACGGAGACACCCAATACTCAAATGTTACTTGCTGATTGACAGTTACGCATGAAACACGTGCATGAACGAATTTTCATGGGCCTCGGCACATGTTTCTGCTACGAAACGCTGTTTCGATAACTGAAAAATAGTGAAGGTAGCGCTTTTTATGGGCCACGTTTTACCGCGGCTTAAAACAGCTGGCGTAACATATACACTAGTCCTTTCCTAGTTATCCTCTTTTACACAATAAAGACACATTAAGGACTTCGGTGAGCGCCCTCTACCACTGTATATTCCTGATCGAAAACCGACAAGGCAACGGGCTCGTGGCCCGGTGGGTAGAGGCGTGGACTTCTAAACCAACTGGTCGCCAGTTCGAGGCTTGAGTGTTCCACACTTCGGGCTTGGGTATGGCTAGCTGACGACGGCTAATAAGCCAGAAATGGCCATTCCAGTCTCCCTTGTCTTTGTCGGTAATACCAATCTGCCTATTAAGGACTTCGCTGGGGAAAGGATTTGTGGGGGTTTTAGGTAAAGGGAAATGTTGGCTGAAACAACGGAACGTCAGTTTCTGTCCTTTTGATGTCGTTAGCCGCCTGTATTCACAGCTGCCCAGTTTACATTTGACACTGATAATTAAAGTCCCACAACCATTGGATGATACTCGCTTCTAGACATGAAAAAGCTTGCTCAAATTCTGTCCCAAGATTGTTTTCCTTGTCCACAAATATGGTTTAGATTCTGTGGATAAACACAGAGTGAGGTAAGCAGGCTAGGCGTCTTACCGTCAACATATCTGATGCTGAATCTGTGATCGGCTAAGTCTAGGATCCGCTTGTTACGTAGCACTCAATACCTGACATGAAACCGAGTGCACTTCGAAAACACACTTAGAAATACTGATCAGTCAAGCATGGAATTTAAAGTATACTAAACGGTTGGGACAGGGAATATGCCAGAACGTTACACCAAGATATGCACGTCAGTAACGTCCGTTGTTCTAACCAGCAAAATGTGTATGTGTTTTCACTGGAAAATTAACAAAGGAGAGGCATAAAATGTCACCTCATCACTGACCAGTGTAGAACAATAGCCAAAATCAGTCTTTCGTAACGCCATATTGACGCAGTTAACATGTTGGGCAAACACTAGTGTCATTATGGTACAGGCCAACATAAGAGAGATGACGGTACAATTTTATGACTCTTCGTCGCAGTTCAGACTTTTATATCAGCAAATATGCTTGGATTGCCGAAAAGTAAGCTTACAATCAATGACAAAGTTAGCCGACACCCAATTCAAAGTATTGAATGAATATTTGCCTAAGAACCGATATAAATAGGGTGAAAGTTTGCAAAACATGCTCGTACCGCTGCGCTATGGAATTACGCCTATAACGTAAAGTTGGAGAGGGGGGTACATAATGCAAAATGATCCAATGAGCGGGGTTCAATTCTCAAATTATCTAAAGTCGAGATTAGCTATGAAGATATTTACTAGATGGAAAAAGACAGCTCCGGGTTCTTTTGACTTTGTTGATATTGATAGTCAACGCACATCCGGAAATTACGAAAGCCAATACCGGAAATATGTCTCTGATGGATTTCCTAAATAGGAGATTTATACAACTTTGAACTATCTTTCTTACTCGACAAGCAATCTAGAACCAAACGAAAACAGGTAATGCGTGTACAATGGCAAATGCCTACTTAGTGACCCTTTACGTCTGAAAGGTACTGGCGGAAATGAAGTCGGGAGGCACGGTTGATTATGTTTGTTAAGTTTAAGCAGTACCTATTTACTGATAACCTCAAGGCAGTAATTAAATTCAACTTGCAAAAGGAGAATTGTTGTTGATAAAAGCAACACTAAACCATATATATTAGCAAACACTATGCAGAATTTTTTTCTAAAGGATATTTTACCTAAAAGGACGGTGATTTTAAAACCTTGTTAACCGATTAGTTACGCAACGCGTGTGTTGTGTAATATTTCTGTCCTTTTGGTAACCAAGAGATAAAAGGAAGAATAGATTTGCAGTTAATATTTGCGTGGACAGCAAGCTTTCAAGTATTACAGACAGAATGACTTTCCAACTACCCTAGGAGCACTTTTTTGCATCTTCAGAAAGCATTTCCTTGGAAATGTTGATTAGAATCAATGCTTAGTAATCAGTCTGATATGTGTAATGAAATAGTAGGGTTTTAGTATTTTAGGGTATTCAGATATGAAAGTGATGTTTGGACTTCCATGACTACGTAGTGCTATGGTCTATGAAACTGAAGACTAAAACAAAACTTCCTAATTATCTGCAATTTTCTTATACCTGTAATTCAAAACGGATCTAATTTAACTATGTTCTGGCACAGTAAATATGACGTTTTATAACTAAACTCTGGGAGATACGCAATTTCCACTGCGTCTATAAATATTAAAAGTAGCCTGGACTCTATATTTGGCCGTCTATTAGGTGTGGATTGTAGAATTATGTGTCATGAAAGTGCATATTTTCCAGTTCCATAATAAAAACTTATGTTAGAATTTTCGCAAATTTAAATGCAACCGGAAAAGTCAGCAGGTTAATAACCCAATTAAAAACAGTTTGAAGAAGCAGGACGTTTGGCCCTAATAATAAATATGTGCAACTGAATACAACATGTTGTGTCAAGGTGCCTTAAAACAAGGAGTTCTTACGCTCAACAAAAAAGAACAGATGTTTTAAGGGTTTTACATATTAATACGGTGTTTTTGGCTTTTTTTAGTGAAAAAAACAGATTTCAGTCATAAATATTGTGGTCATTACTGTATATTATCATTTACTTTTAAGAGGCGGTATCGGCGCTGCAAACATTGGACACGTAGAATTTTGTCCGCATAAATATTCATAATGGGATATATCTGGGCCAATCTTCATTAAATTAACCCTCATTCTATTGCTTTTCTACCTTTGATTATACACACATACGACTTCCAAAGTTCAGTTGAATAACTGTTGGCTGTCGGTGTTAATTCAGTCCCTTCCTTCATTCGGGTAGGCTGAAAGAGAGGACGTTACTGGTCTTCACACCTCCGTCGCTATCGACCAACGTGTCGCTGTCGAAAGTTGGCAGAATTTTAAAGCGCGAAAACTATACAGAAGTCGGTAACTAATCTGTCTTCCATCATCGCACGGATCTTCTTCTATTTCCAAATGCATTCAAATTGTCCGGATTATATTCAAATGATTGCATGCGCGTTCTGAATACTTAATGCTTAATGCCAAAAAAATCTTGCGGTCATCCATATGGATTGCTCTACGCGTAGCTCGCATCTAGGACATCCTAATAAAGAACAAAATAGATGGCCAAATCAAAAGAAAATTTTGTTAAAAATCATAGACTCATCTCAGATTCTAAGTTTCAGCACCCGAACATCTCACCAACATAACACTTGCACATCTCTACTTTAGTAGCACATTGGATTTCAAAAGCCGTTAAATACACTATAAGTGGGAAATTGCACGAAACCAGTAGAAGTTGTAGCAAGACGTTTTTAGTGACCAATTGCACCGAAAAGATAATGAATGAGAAAATAAACAGCGTTTATTATGAGAATGAGGCGGGTGTTTGGAGGCGTACTACGACCTGCCTCTTCAAACGTTTCATTATGGGTCTCACTAGCGGGAACTAAAACTTTATTTATTGGCGGGGCCATAACGTTATTGGGTATTCAGTAACCCACTGACTCCAATAGAAGTCCCAAACCAAGACAATATGCACAAAACTCTCGAGCATTGTCAATACCAATCTCTCCATGTAAATAGGTAATTTCGAAGCAGTTCATACACCGAACTTAGAAAATTGTTGTAGGATAATGCGACTATATATTTTGATCACGTGGTCTCTGATTACTTGTTAGGACTGCACTCATATGCATTGTCAAGGGAGAGATGGTCGTGCAAATAAGACCCCGGTAACAATCGGGAGATGGCACCCAAAAAAATCCGCCTAACCAAAGCAGCCTATCTTACCGGACAGGTGGTAAGAGAGGTTTTATGGGTGGTGGCTGGTCGGAATTTATGATACTAGCCAACAGAAAGCCTTATTTGAACAGGCAAATAATCAAAGTTGGCCCGCTCTCCGTTCCGTTATTACTAAATGGGCCGCCAAAGGCAGTATAGTGGTAACGGAAGAGTGGAAGGCGTATAATCCTTTTCCTTTAGAAGGTTATCTACATTTCTCTGTTAACCACTCAATGAACTTCAAGGACCCTACCACCGGACGACACACCAATGCCATTGAGGGCTACTGGAGTAGACTGAAAGGGAAACTCCACGAGGAAGGCCCTGTTTGTTGTCGATCTATGTGGGCTCACATGGCCTCAATGCCATGTATTTGACAAATGCCTGGGAAGTGTTCCCGTCCCATGTTGTGCAGACTTATCCCATTTAAAATGCTTTTGTTTTGTAATAAATTGCTCTAGTGCGAATGCATGCCGTATATTCAGGTGTACGCGTGTAACGATTGGGAAGGTTGGGTAACAGCGACCATCGTCCATGTAACCTCCTGCGATGTTCGTTTGGCCAGCCCATGTTAGGCCGTCGGGAAAAGTCCAAATTCTGCGTGAAAGTAGACCTGTAACCGCTGATATAGCCTGAAGGCGTTTGAGTCCACTGTTGAAGGTATTCTTTCTAGGTAATGGATTTTTTTGGGTGCCATCTTTCGATTGTTACCATGACCCCCGGACAGTTTTAGAAACGAGCTACTCTATTACCTGTTTCTTATGCTATAGGGTTCAATCTAAATTCGAAGGTAAAGCTGCGTTACGATACAAGAGTTAAGTTTACAACCAGGCATCAAAGAGGCAGATTAAGGTAATAAAAATAAAAAATATACATCTTATCTCCTGTACGGTGCGGACAAGTTGTGCATTTTTTTTCTGCAGACTTCTAATGGGTTTATGTGGGCGTCTGTAGAAAGGAACTTCAAAAGCTCTGAAAGCGTGTACTATGTTAGTATCAGCAAACAATGCTTTTTGAAGTCCCGTATGCACTGGCAGTTCCCTGACACTTAGTTCCTTGCAGGTTGATTCGCCTGCGCTCCCGCTAGGTATGCAGTTAGTGGACATGGCTGTCCAGTCCTCCTCGTTCTTCAAATCCCTGATGGAGAGTCGTTGGTGGAAAATCCTGACCACTGTTTTGCTTTGGACCACGGTGTGTGATGGCACGCCTGGGCGCGGGTCCGGCAGTGCTGGTCACCTGCGCTCTCCCCCGCCTCCGGTATATTTAACTCCTTCTTGATACCGGGTCCCGGTGGGGACTGAAGAAGCAAGATTGGGGTGGATACTGAGCAAGTCTACGATCATTATAAACTAATTCTTGCGCAAGTCATCGAGCCTGCTGCACCTAATTGTGCGGCACACGGTGGACCTCGTCCGAATTGACGGTCGGACTCTCAGAAAGAAACTTTTCATCCCTAAGTTAGCCCTTAAAAAACAATATTTTGGCAAAGTGGAAGGCCCGTACAGTTGCTTGTTCCTTGCAGGAATTCTCGTTCATTGGTTTTGGCGCCTGTCATTGCCGTGTATCGATGTGCGAATGAAGAAGCCATTTCATCAAATTAATTTGACAATACAACTTGGGTTCATTTAAGGTTTAGGCAAGGCGCACACTCTATTTACTGTTCCAAATTATTGACACATATTTTTACCATCTGAAAGAGACTCACACGAATAATTTCCACCATTTCATTCCTTTCTATTGTCCCATTTCCATCGATGTCGTACATCTGGTAGGCCCATTCAAGTTTTTCCTTTGGGCGGCCACCCGACGTGATATTTATTGCAAGGAGGAATTCCTTAAAATCAATTTTTCCGGAGTTGTCTTTGTCAAAAGTTCGAAAAACATGGGTACAGAATTCCTCTGCATTTCCATCGGGAAAGAATCCAGAGTATACCTCGATGAACTTTTTCTTGCTCAGTTGACCCGAAGGACAGTCTCGCTGTAAATGAAAACAAACCGAATACCATTCAATGAGGTCTCTCTGGGTAGGCATAACGTATGCAAGAAATTAGATTACAGTTGAATTAATAAAGTGGGCAGAACCTACTACCAGACCGTGATAATGCGGGATTTGTTTCCCTACAGTGCAGATCATCGGGAGCTTTTGGCAGCATATTTCTGACCCCTAGGATAAGCATATGATTTGCGCCTCAACATTTTTGTTTCTGCGAAATCTTTTTAAAACAACCATTTAGTGCAAGCCTATGCGCGTTTATGTATTCGCATACTTAGGGACAATCAACACCATTGGCTTGAGAGCTTACTCGGCTGCAATAGAACGAAAACATTTACTGCTCGTATCACTAACATATTGTATGCTTTTCAGAGAATCTACCAAAAGCATCGTGACAGTGGACGCCAAATATTATTTTGAGCGTATTATCGTCTGACAAAATATCACACAATTTTGTTTTTTAATGAATTCCTGTGATGGAGAGACGGTTTTCTCCACGAATGGCCCCTTATTAAGCATGTGCGAAATAATTCTGCACATATGCTACGACTGGCAAAACTCGTAGGATTGCAATTCGAATGCGCAAAATGCGCACTTAGATATCTCTCTTTCTACTGTCAGCTAAATCGACTGCTGGACAGATTGGTACCTCAGTTACGTACGAACAGGTAGCATATTTTTTGGCAATGTAGGAACTCCTGTGATCTCAGAAAGGTGATCTGGTCGCCTGGCTTTGTTAGTCAGAAGATGAAAATGATAATTTCTTAAGTGATGCTCAGTGAACTTGATAACCTATAATATCTGTCCGATGATAACCTAAGCCAATAACTGACGTTAACGTTTTTTCAAAGTACTTTTCATTTTTCCTCGTGAAAATTTGTCCGCGGAATTAAAGCTCATGTTATTCGTTTTTCAATCGTTACGCATAGAGCACACAAACCAGTTACTGCAAACTAAACGTTGGGATTCCAAGCTCTTTCATTATAGTTAGACAAAAACCAACGGAGGTTCTGCAAACGTATTCCAAGCTCCAAAAGCTTGATCGTTCGATGCATTCCCACGTTCAACCTTCACTTTCAGGAAAGACTTGCTTCTTCGGTGAAAGATTTTAGGACAATTTTCGAAAGTATTCTTATCGTTTGGAAATGCCGAAATGAGTGAAAGCAGTGGCGTGTAACCTACCCATAGTTTAATAAGACCAAGGAATATATAAATCGGCCAGGAATAGAGCGAGATCAGTTTGAATAATTCTCTATATGGTATTTGAGACCAAGTCTGGCGAACCCATAATCGTGATAAACCAGTGTATTACCAACTTTAATTAATCAGATGCACCCGAACTTTACGGCTGCCCGAGGGCTTGCAAACTGATGGGATAACTCAGTCTCCATCGGTGAAATGTGGAGAGCCTGTGAACCTGAGTGACGGACAGAAATAGCCCTTTTTGTAGCATTAATCCAAGACACATGCTAACGACTCAAATTGATCTTGCGGTGGTATGGCATATACTTCGGGAACTGGGCTGTATTTGGCATGATAAGATGGGCATTACGTATCCATCCATATAAAGATGTCTGGATATTACCTTGTCGTCCTAACAAGATAAGTCAGGGGAGGGACAGTACCTCACTATAAATCTACCAGTTCTGCGCCACCATAGTTTGGCCAGCGGTGGGGTTTTGTAAGAAACAATTCGAACATAAGTCATAAGAGTCAATCCAATGATGCAAGCGCAGATGAGAATGAGACCGAGAATTTTGGAACTAGAAAAATGCGCTTACTCATTTTTTTCCAGAATTTTCAAACGCCAAGCAGATTTACAGCAATGAAAGTCAAATCATATATATTTTTGCCAAATAAACAAATGTAAAATAAGCCTGACAACCAAACAAAGAAAAAGTAGTCCTCAAAAATTCACTCAAAGTATTTTGTAACAACAATGCAGCCTTTGAAGAAACCTTTTGAGAGGTAGTTCTGTATGCATTAAATCAAATTGTAACCTTGATACACAAAATGACGTCGAATGCAGTGTGTACTGGACTTAATTTAAATAGTCGGTGGCGGGTAGGAGAATTACTTGCTTGATTTTGTCATCTTCAGTCCTGCGTTTGAAAGAAGGTCAAACAACATTTTTATTTTGTACTCTGTAGTCCACAAATTACGCCAATTCATAGTGCATAGTCTGAAAAGTCTTGATGATGTCGTGGCTGGTTCTAATTTTCCTAATTAACCTTCATATAAGACAATGACCCAAATAATCCGAGAGCAAAAAACGGACTAATAAATAAATCCGTAGCGAGAAAGAGCAGCTTGAGACATCGCAAAGTACGGCCACGTGCACGTTTTCAGCGGCCACTTTATACATAGCGTTGCGTTCCATTGATAATAGTCGGGCATTAATTGTATCTTCCTTCAAATAGACGTTCCAATTCCTATTTTAAGTTTCAAACGTTAACTTTTGTCCTGGGCAGAATTGTTGATAACAATGTGACCTTAAATGGAAATGATGACCTATTAAATGTCGAATTGTCTCTTCAGGACGCGTTAAGTTCACATAGGGTTTAAAGCGTTTCCCGAAACAGCGAACTGTTTTGACTGAATTAAGAACTAGATCTTTCGAATACCACTTGACGACTATGAAACAAAGGTGTATTAACTTGCATTAGTTTTAAAGTAAATCAAATTTAGGATGTAGAGTGTGCTCCCAAATCGATAAAGCTTAGTAGAAAAAACCAGTTTATTAATCCGGGTTACGATGAAACTTTAGCGTTTTTGAAATAAAAGCATGCTGACATGTTACTACATGAATATACAAATTGCCACTTTAAACAATCGCCTGTACGCTTTAGTTGTAAAATTTTACCTATATTTCAACAAGAATACCTTAGTTTTCTTAAAGACATTACCTAGCAGATTAGCTACGAAAATCATTATTTACTGAGACGCCCTGGTAACAAAATTCTATTAGTCGATTATGAGTACAGTTAAAATGACCTCCATGCAAACATACAGTTTCATCATAAACTAGGATTTACACTTAGCTGAGTCTGAATATACGGCAGAGATATCCGCCTGCGAAAACAAGATTATATAAAACTTTCAACATAATCTATACTAACTTTCCAATTGGATGGTCCGCTGACAAAAATCCAAGAGGTAGGAAAATTTTTTGAGATCTCCAAAGTGTTTCAACTTTATAAGATCAACGTCGTCGTCGGCATCTTCGTCAGAAAATTAGCGGAATATGTATGGTTGAAAACGTTTTCTGGTGCGGAAAGAAGTATGCAGATAGCTTTATTGTCTACGTTATGCTAGTTTTACGGTTTCCGTTGGGTCATTCAAAAACAGAACAGGGCGAACAGGGCGTTGCCTTTTGCGAATAAAAGGCGAAGATGCTTAGTGAATTAATTCGTTGCTTGGTTATTGTAGAGATCGATTATTGACATCGGATCCTCATGACATTACACTGGCGAACGGTGAGTAGACGCCTTGCTACAACACCGTAAACTGCACCATTTTCGACCGTGTTTCGGCAGAAATTAATAGACAAGACCCAATATATTTCTTTTAATTATTTTCACACAGCACATATTATGATTTGAGTTCTGTTGTCCTTAAACACAACACTATTTCAAACCAAACTACTATTCATTTTAGCACTTTTTGTACGATTTGGTGGAAGGTTGTCCATTAGTATGTGAAAGCATTAGTTAATATATTCATGTCACTTTCCAATTTTTTTACTGTCATTTTTTAGCATACGCACATTTCATGAATTAGGTGACCTGTGATAGGCGACTCCACCGATTGCAAAAAAATCCGTAGAAAAACCCATATGAGAAAGCATGAAACACATCAGCACACAAACCGATTACAGAATTACGAAACCAGCCTGTAGATCCTAGAGATAGGTTAAGCCGTTTATATAAGAAGGGACTTGTCTACAAGATTCATGATGTCACCTTCAAGGTAATAAACTATAGTCAAATTAGAAATTTGGCCTCCACACGCATACAAGAATATCAACTGGCCGTGGCGAGGCGAGACCACTTGTCCCATGTCATGATGCACACATAAGAAACTGACAAAAGTCGCATTGTCGTCTTCTGTCCAGCTAAAAGATCGTGCATTTTTGGAGACTATATACTCCGATGAATTATACAAAACTCGGCACGGTGAAATAAATATCGTTTAAAATTATCTCGCATAAAGATGAACGAGGCCACAACCAACCGACTCTAAATTATTGCGGAGATTTAAGGGACTGTAAAATGTTTAACCTTGTAAAAAATTCAACTATTTTGCATAGTTGCTACATGTTTGAAGACGTTCTGGGGAACCACTTTTGAAAGATTTACCTAATAAAGCGTGTTATCCTTCCCAAAGAACTTATTACATTCAAAATGATCCATCTGTTTTAATCAGTTTTTACTGCTGTTTGTAGACACTTACACTGCACTTACAGACACAACAAATGCACTGACAGCACACCGACAGAAGAGAGTAATACACAGTGCGTTAGGTCTACGTTGTGATTTCCGCTTGTTGCATGACTGAATTATTTGGCTCATTCAGGTGTTAATGCGAAACCGCTGACTCACCTTTGATGACCTGAAGTTGAGTCTTTTAGGAATTGCTGCTAATACGGAAGGGGGAGACTTGTTTACTACTTAAACCATTTGTTAATTTTTCTGGCTTCAGTACTCTCTTGCCTTGGCCACAAGTTTAAAAGCCCAGATAAGCGAAAACTGACCCTTTTAATTCATCTTTTCCCTCATTTTACCATTGTATCACGTTACGCAGTTCCTTCTGTTAGGACTCAGTCGAAATTAACCTAATAAGATTTATAAAAGAGTCTGGTCTGTGATTTCTCAACTTCTTCGATCAAGTCCGTACAAACTAAAAACATGATTTTTTCTATCAGGCGCATGTTTCTGGATCAAAATTAAGTCAAATGGGTGAAAGCTTATGTTATCCTGTAACCCAACCCTACTAATGCATATCGAGCTGCCATATGCACGCATGCTTCATACTACGGATGTTTCCTTAACAGCACAATCAAATGATAATGCGCCGAGGTAAAGTATACAGACGCACACTTTAAATATCCTTTATAGCATAGATAATAATTATGTAAATGTTCGCATGGTTAAACTCACAATAAATCCATTGTACCACTGCTTGATCTGCTTTTTTGTGAAGTGTGTGTTGCTCATCAAGAATTCCAAGTCCTCTTTGGGAAGCTTCTTCCTTGATGCCAACGCATTTCCCATTACTAAAAAAACAAAGTTCAAGCATCAAACGGGGCGGTATATTAATCTCAGTACGTCTCTATTTTTGCAGGTTGCTGCGCATTAATTCTCTTTCATTACATAAAAAATCTAAATTGTTTACGTCCATGCAGCAAATAAGCGTGTCTTTTAAATTCATTGACCCAGCCTAGTTTGAAAAGCTTGGAATTATCGCATGTAAGAAAAGTCATAAGGGATGTCATTTCAGGACCTGTGTCCTTGCTCATTAACATCCGAATATTGAAAAATTTTATATTCGCTAAACAATACGACAATATTTTGATAGAGTTGAGGTTTATTTTCAGTCTCTTAAGGGACTATGTTCCTTGTTTGCGAAATCTTCTAAAAAACATCCCGGCCTGTTTTCCCATGAACTTGGCCTAGATGTAAATAAATAGACTGTCGTAAAACTTCCTATCCTGACTGCTTCTGATTTGTTGGTGACCTTCCTTCTTTAAAATGTTACTATGACAAATCGTTAATGCACCTCTTTGCAAATAACTGATGCCTCCATCGTTAAGTTGAGCTAGGCTAAACGCATGAAAATAGTGAAATAAATTTGTGTGGAAATTAGCATTTGACAGCACGCGCCTGAACAGTTGAAATAACAGTAAGACTTGATGTACGAGTACTAAGAATGGATAGTTAAGTTCATTTTAGCATCAAATTTCCGAAATTTCGAAATCAGGTGCCTGCATTTTTAAGCTGATTTGACGTTTTAGGCTCCCATAAGAGTTAGTTTGACGTTTACCTAACAATGGCTTGTTAATAATAAAAGACTGTGCTAACCCTAGTCAAACATATTTTTTAGGTATTTGTTTGATGGAACCTAATTTTTCATTTTTAACAACAATATAGATAAGCCTTAGATTAAAAATCCACAAATCAGCGATTATTTTGCTAAACCCTACAAAACGCATCGTTTTCAAAAATATTATTCGTGAATTCTGGCTTCCGGATTCATAAAAACTTACTGTTTGTTGCATGTTCAATAAAAAAGGGGGCCAACGCCCAATTTACAAATTTTGGGTTTAGGTATCCATACGCACATCGCTGAGTCAGTTCTTTTCAAAGTTTTATGTTTATTCTGGCAAACGTGTGCAATTGGAAACACTTTCCAACGGAAACACTTCAGTTTTAGGGCACACCTGTGGGCTGAAAATGCCTGCGACATATATCTTTGCATCTACAAAAACCGAACTCCAGTTACTTAAGGCAAAACTATTGTGACGGAAAACACACGGATACAGTGTCTTCGTAAACCACTTTAAGCCCCGAGTGGAAATAAAATCGGCAGGGCGTTACATTCCTGCACGTACTAAATACTGCCATATAATTTTTTGTCGTATAAATAACTAAGATATTATATCATCGCCTAAAATATTTAAATATCTTCCGAACAACCTAAGGTATGCCTTGTTTAGGGTCAGGCGAGTAGCTATTTTGTAAACTGATTAGTATTTGCAAAAATTGCCATGCTTTTCAAATTCAGAAGATGAGACGTTTAAGGACTGCAAGATACTGCTTATTAATCAATAGTTGAATAAAGGGTTTTTAGTTATATATCTTAACAATGCTGAAACAGCAGATTATGTTGGCTCTCGGCATGAGTTTAGTAAACGTTTGCTCTGCAGTTTACCGTGTTTTGTGAAAGAATGCAAGAGGTCAACTCCAGAGGTCATTCAGCACCATTAGGACATTAATTTATGACAATTAATAGAATTTGGACATAAAACCATGGAAGCCACTAAACGCTAGTAACCCATGCTATCATATGCGAAAAATTGATTGGATACTAAGTTAAGCTATATCTTTAATAAAAAGTAGACTGGAAGGTAAGTGTCCTGCACACACAAGTGTACATGGAGTATGTGTTTTCGGAAACGAACATGAGAGCTCATCACGGGCCGTGCTATTTTGAGGGATTGTACAAGCTCTTCCTTCGAACTCAAGACTAAATTAGCTTGTTGGGCGCGCACAGCCTCTGCCGTCACAAGTATCCGCTGGCACAGGAAACTGCTATTTCTAACTTGCACTTCATAGATAATTCACAATGCGTGGTTGACGTCTACCCGACAACTGCCGTCAATTAACCGACTCAAAATTCCGCTAAAGACAGCCCTCATTTAGCCAGCCAGAACCGTGCTCTTGCATTCGTTTGGATAGGCGCAAATGCATGCTGAATCCAACTGAGAGCGAAAAAGACCGACAAAACACTCCAAGTTCCTGCGTCGGTGACTACACAGTGACCACGCGGCTAACTAGGCCAGCTTTGTGCTCGCAGAGTGTGTTCATACTAGTCCTCAACCTACTGTGGACCAAAACTGGTGCAGCACGTTTGTCCCCGTAGTCGACCAAGTCGCGCTACAACGATGAAACTGGAGCATAATTCTTAACAACCGAGAGTCCCGCATTTACTTGAAAAGGGTGTGCATTTTTCTTCACAAGGTACATGGCAGGCCTAGGACTTACTGACGATCGGTAAAGACTGCGAAACAGTTGTCTGAGTCTAAAGCGTTGGTACTTTAGTGGGCATTTTATGCACAGTTCTCCGCAGGGCCTAAGCCCTTATCGGATCTCACCTGTCTGAAAATCATCAATCGTCTCCCAATAACTACTGCTTATTGGCTGTTTTAATCTCCTCCTTACGTCAACTTATATTACAGCACAAGCCTTGGAATAAGTGGTCAAAAGTCCACCCTCATCACACCTGACTGCTTTAATATTTATTTGGATGTCACCGCAGAACGTGAACTATTGTAATTAACTCATATTTGCTCGTGCAAAGGCGTGTTTTTGCCGAATGGAATTGTTCGGGCTGCTGACGATGTCTCATAGCTCTAGTATCCATCTATATAAGTTGTTGGACAGCAAGAACGTAAAGATATGACAGACTGCGTCTGAGACGAATCTAACCAGAATAAAACCTAATAGGAAGATATCGCAGAATTGCAAAAATACGAAGCAAATTGGTATATTGCCTTGGTGGTCTTCTTGATACACAAATACCGATCAGGTGAAGTGTTTTTTAAGTCTATTAAATTATGCTAGCGGTACCATTGCCTTCCTAGTTGAAGTCGAAAAGCTTGCATTTGTCAAGTGCCTGATAAACGGAACACACGATGAATCATTGAGGGAAACTACGGATTTAGTAGTTGACAGTGTTTTGTATTGGGTGTCTGATCTTCCGGGCATCTTCAAACCAGACAAGAGAATTATCATGTTCTTTTTTACAGGAACTGCGAGGTTGAGCTTACTTTTGAAGAAGCTGGCACGGAATAACTATTTTTGATGAAGCAAGTGGCCAGAAATGTCCTTCGCAAAAGGCTAATTATAACCAACAAAGAATGCCATGAGTTTAGTAGAAGTGGCGCCTAATACCAACCTGAGCGATGGGAATTTTAAATTCGAATAGCCTTAATGTATATGTGCAGTAAAGTTTCACATACCTGAGCTTCAAAACATAGTGTTTACATGCGAAATCGCAGGGCTGGCTTGTAACAGTGAACGCATCAAGTGGAGCTGCCAGAATCTACAGACACATTTTTGAGGGAGGCAGTTACCGAAGGCTCAACCTGTCGTTCTGAAATTTATCCTGCTTTCGTTGGTTATTGAGGTATCACAACCGTGAGATAAATTGCTATGCCCAAAAACAAACTATTAACTTTGAGATGAGTGGTGCTTCCGCTGAAAAATGAGGAACATCGAAGCAACAATTTGATGCGACAAAGCTATTCCCATTATGTTGTTTTTTTTTCGTTTGTTCAGCCATAATAAGACAATAGCTAGGAAAAATGCAATAAAAATTGCGTACTGTCTCATTAAAACAACAAAAAATATCCGAGGTTTGGGGAGTAATATGTTGGTTCATTATACTTTGCTATTTTTCGAGAATTACCAGATGCTTATTCACCACAGTGCAATAGTGCGTATCTAAGGTGGCAGGTGTTCACCTCGTGTAATCTCTATTTACTCTCGTCGGAACAGTTAAGGGGTGCTTATCAGCATTTTATCAGCTTTGTCACATCGAACGGATGGTCTTTAAGATTGGATATGTGATGAATTTAAAAATCTCCTTAATTCACAATGGACGAGTACCTTAGCGAGTTATACGCAAAGTCTTATCAAGCCTAAGGTTCTTCAGGTGGCATATAGGCTTCATGTTTAGAATCAAACGGAATTAATATACGCTTTCCTTTTAAAACATCAATCAAATGTTAAAAATGACTGCTGATTAGTTGCGGTGTTGTGGTGTTTTTGATTATGCCAAAGAACATGAATTTCAAACAGTATATTTAACATATTTATTTGCAGTGGCCTTTGCCGTCATGCGGCGTATTACAAGAAATACATACTCTGACGTTTAGGCAGTGTTTTGTGGAAGATTTTCAATATAATTCAGTCTGTTTGAAGCTATCACCAAAATGTAGTCAATTTTTATGCCCCTCAGAACATTCGTTTGCCGGCCGTTGGCGCTATTGTGCTAGCTTTTGCTAGTGCCTTTTGGAATGACGCATCTTTTGTACATGAAAAATAGCATTATTTTAGGGCTTCAACCTGAACACAGCCATGTCACCAACCATATCTAAAGCGACGTTAGGGCCTGTTACTTTATAAATATAATAGACACTGCATGTATTATAACATATTTTGGCTATACATTCTTCCATCTGTTCAACGTAGGTGTATATTTTACGGCAAACGAATCACTTTCATTTGAGAAAAATCTTATGCATAAAACCTACTGTACCTTTTCTGGGTCAAAATATCTGTGTTCTGTGTTAATCGGAAATGAGATAACAAACAAAGCTGGCCAATTTTGCATAAGAACTTTAACTGAATTACTGCGCGGAACATATGGGCAGCTTTATATCAAATATAAGCTGTCCCAAAAATCGATTAAATTGTGGTGCTTCGAATTTATATGAATGTTTTAATTTTAAGCCCCACTAGTCGAAATCATTGTCCAAACGAACGCTGAA